TAGGAAGACACAAAACATGTTTTGGCTCCAAATCAGGGTCAAACAGGTTGTAGGTACGTATGTATACGATTGTATACGCAATCCTTTGCCTTATACATCCTTATACCATTTTATACCCTTCCAGTTTCAACTGTTCAAAGAAATGCAACACAGAGGGTTGTTCGATGTGCTGGGCCTTTTTGTGGCCTTTTTGTTGGGGAAAAACAACACTGGTCTATGCTCGAATAGCAGGAGTCACTGGTGAGAACCTGGTGGATCATGGATGCCGCAACTCGTTGCAAGAATAACTCGATCGACCACAAACCACTGATTTCGCTGGCTCACGCGTCGCTCAAGCCCGCGACGAGACGAATGAGTCTGAATGCCGTCAGAACTGGAAGGACATCTGGAAGGACAAAGAAGGACAAAGAATCACAAAGAACTGGATGCTCGCCTTCTCGAAGATCTTCGCCAGATGAGCACATATTGCTATAGCAGATGCCAATCATGGATCTTGAGAATCATGACCTGGCGACAGTTGGATGACTCGACCCATGCGCCAAGAGCACTAGATCCGACTTCATCCAACAAACAAGAGAAAAGACTGCAACATACCATGCAGTATCGACACGGCACCCTTGTATCCTTCCTGTGGGGGTAGTCCAACCCACTGATGGACTTGTAGACATCGTAGACCCATGCGACGGCGTATTCCTCCCACTCACTCTCACATCCATCGGACAAGTCATACAAGTGCATGAGGCTTTGGGAACAAGAGCATACACCAGTACCACAGCACCACCGTTGGCTCGGGTGCTTGATTGAGCCAGGCATGAAAAACACCACCCAGGTGTTCTCCATCCCCGTCAACAGACAGGGAGGTTGTCCATCGGTTGTGCAGACCCCACTTAGTTGCTGGCTTGAGCTTTGCCCACTTGCCCATCAAACGGACCTCCCGCCACACGTTGGAGTGCGCCCGCGCATGGGCAAGCGCGGCAAGCGGGCTCCGCCCGCCCGAGAAGCCGCTCAAGCGTTTTGGGCCTGTGCCGCTCGAAAGCTGCAGGGGAACGGCCTGCGCCGTCCGAAGGAGGAGTCGGTTGGCTTCGGTTCGGAGTAATTACAAAGGCGCCGACTGTTGAGGTTTCCCTTCTTATGCGGTGAGCGTGGCGTGCAGCGGGGCGTGCGGGGCCACATCGAGACTGATAATTATTCTTAAACATGTCCTCTACTTGTGGTAGGTGAAGACATTACATAGCATCAGCATGAGCCCTGAGTCTTACTCCCCTATCAAGAATCAAGCAACATGTTCTCAGAGTCCCTGGTCCAGCATCTGTGCATGTCGGTATCCTCAAATCAAGTAAATGAATGAATTAGGTTGTTGCTCGGGTGACGAGGTGATGAAGGTAGCCTCACCTCCCCTTGCAGCTTCGGATTCCAAAGATCTCCAGCTTTCGAAGGTGCCCTCGCCATGCTTCACCCTTCCCTCAAACCATCTCAAACCAGACTCCCTGGAGTTGAACATGCTGAGGTGGATGGCATGGCTCCTTTCGTTCGGCTGATCATGTTCCGAATACCAAACAGGGAGTGAACACTTCCATGTAAGCTCCAGGCAGAGTTGTCCGCAATCCACCTTCTGAGGTGTCTAAAAAGGCCAGCCTCCTTGGCTTGGCTTCTGTTTCATGTTTCCCCATCCACATCCATGGCGCCAGCATCACCTGACGGATGGATCACCCCTCACCTCCTTCACCTGACATCTGGGGACAGAGCAATGGAAGTCAGATCAAGTGTGGTAGGAAGGAGCTCCGGAGTTCTCACGGACTATCTGCTATGAGGAACTGTTTGCTTAAGGCTTGTAAAGCTCTTAGGATTTGGGTCTTGGGACCAGTTTTGGATGTCGATGATGTCGATGGGTCCATGGGTTGTCGATTTGAAGATGGGGGACAGACCGAATTCACTGGAAAGGGACCAAAACGCCGCAGGTGTCAACTTGGCGGGTCGCACGTGAAAACGGTGTTTCAAACAGGGGCGGAGTCCTAAGCTTGGGAGCCAAATAGAAGCAGATAATGCTAAATGACTGAAACATATTTGTAATAACCTTTAATGTTAGTTATTTTTATTGGTTTGGACTGATAGATCCTATACTAAACATGCTAATATTAAATATTATACAACCTTGCCTTTACTGTTAACTATTGGTGTTGGTTTGGACTGATAGATCCTATGCTAAATATGCTAATTCTAAGCTACTTAGCTCTAACCCATGACATGACTCACATTTCATGGCCTGACTCATCATACTCATCACATGTCATAGACCATCAGATCATCACGCCTTTAGAGTCAGACTGATCCCGAAGGCCAAGGAACCCGGACCTTTCTGGACCTTTCTGGTCGCAGACCGACTATGATTGGTGAATCCCAAGAAAAGCAGGTTTGTGGAAGCCAATATTAAACCCAAGAAGAAAACCGACTCGTCGTTGTTCCCAAACACACACACACAGCACACCAAGACACACACGTCTTGCCGCTCATGTACGCCACAGAAGCACCATGTGCGCCACCAGTCGCTCCCTCAGGTGCTGCACCGCTTGGACGACGCGCAGGAAACGCCGCGCCTGGCGCCGTTGCCGGAGCGCTTCGACTCACCGGGCACCTACTACGCGCGTGGCCTGGAGCCGAGGTCGCGGAGAGGTCGGGCGGACGGTAGGAGAGAGAGACAGAAAGACTCAGAAACATGGAGAATCCGTGGGTTTTTTGGAAGAAACCTAAAGAAATGTTCGGGGGTAATGAGTCTGCAGCAAGTGTACATAGGATAGACAACATACTGCCAGTTATTTGTCATTTGATTTCCAAGTTTTCTGACCGTACGAAGAGCCTCAAATGACATGGTATGCTTGAGTTGAAAGGAACCTGCCCACACAACGGTGGGTTTTGAGATTGTACATGGGGGGGGTGTCTATAAGACAATTCTTTCTTCAAACAAACTCAAGAAGCTGAACTGAAATCCCATGAAATCTCAGCACCTCTTTCTTTGCAAACAACACTATAGAGAAAAGGAGACTTGGTCGACTCAGTGAATCGACTCGGGAAGGCACATCTGTATACAATCCACAGATCGTGGCCGACTTAGGCCATCCAAGAGAGGTTAAGTGACCTTATAGGACCCATGTGGGGTACCTATGAGACAGTCTGTAGGGTTCTTCAACCTCTGTTGGAGAAGGGAGGGCCCAAGACCAGCAGCCAAGACCGGCGGTGACCTGAAGGAATGGGCACACCAGCGACCAGCATGAAACACCAAGAGCACAAGAAACACCAACCACAAACATGTTCCATTTATGTAGGATATATATTGCCAGAGTTTACTCATAGATGACAGAGTGGAAGATGATTGCCGTTGCGTAACTCTCAAGGATTCTAGCAGGCGGCCATGGAAGTGCAGGTGGCTGTTGTCGCCTGTGCTTTCTCGATCGGTTGGGTCGTTAGGTCGACCTGGAAAGAGGTAGCCCCTCTTTGTCCTCCGTGCCACTGCCATTGCACATTCGAGGTTCCCGGAAATCAACAGGGCTTTGCTTTAGTTTTTGGCATAGCTATCCTGGTTTGTGCAGTGCTGGTGTCCCTTGCCTGGTTTGCTGCAAAAGGCTTTGAGCAGCGACGTGCGGGAGGTGGATCACCAAAAGGTGGAAAGGGGGTGCAAGGCTTGTCGAGTCGGCTTATGCAGCTTACACAATGATAGCTGGAGGAATGGCTCTGGTGAACTATGGGGAGCCAGGTCCTGTCTGGCATTGTCGAGCATTGCTCGCCCACGCTGGCGCTTCGGACTGGGCAATTTTGACCCCAGACCATGATGTTTACATTGAGACTCTTTCAGCTGCAAACACTGATTTTACAGGTTTTGTTTATTGTGGAGAGAATGTGGCGATTCCAGGACATATCAATCCGGCCCATGTCTACGGCTTCGATCCTCTGACCCCTCAGGAGTTGGGCACCTTTCGAATGCAGGGTCAGGTTTTGGCCAATGCTCACATGGCAGCCGCCGGAATCCACGTGCCTCCAGCTGCTGCTGCAGCACCAGTTGCTGCACCAGCACCCGCAGCACCCCTTCCAGGAGCTTTGGGAGCTGTTGCAGCTGCTCCGGCTGCACCTGTTGGAGTGGCTGGCGCCGCTGTTGGGGCGGTGGTTGAACGGGTCGACACGTGGATAGCATTGGAGGAGGCTGGACCCTACAAGAAAGGAGATGTGGTCGCTAGAGACCCAACAGCCCTTCCTGCTGGATCCGTCCAAGTGGGAGACAGAGGTGTGGTGCCTGCAGGAGCTGGGAGCATCTTGGTGAAGAAGGTGAAGCCCTCGGAAGCTGCATCTTACAGGATGGAGGATCTTCGGGTGCTCCCAGTCAAATTTGATGCTCAGGGCATTCGTCGACAAGAATTTCCAGCAGCAGTGTCATTGATGGATGATGCAGAGCCTTCCGGAGGTGGGCTCCAGTTGACTGGGCCCCCAACGGCTCTCAAGATCTTGAAAGACCTCCGGGATCAGGCCTTTACGCCTAGCACATTCCACGAGCACTGGATGCAGAGCTCGGACATCCCCAAAGGAGATCGATCGACGTACGAGCATGAATGCCTGTCGAGGATCTTGGAGAGCATGGTGATGGTCGATCAGTTGAATGCCCCAGCCCTTCAGTCAGCCGAGTTGGTGTGCCGTCGACTGCAGGTTATCAGGGAGGCCCATCGTATTTCACCTGGACAGCCTGATTACAGTGCATCAGATGTGATGATGGGTTGGAAGTATCGACGAAGTGGACAAGGCATCGACTCTACATTGGCTGCACATGTGGCAAATGAGTTGAAGGCAGAGGCCGCCATCGCAAAGGAGGCCAGGAAAGCTCGAGAAGAACAGGCAGCCCGCCGCAAAGGTCGCGCGCCCAAGAAAGGAGCGGCCGAAGGCGGGGGAGAAGGATGAGCATCTATGAAGCTGGCAGTGGTTGGGCCGGAGCTGCCAGTTCAGGAGTTGAGGCCCACTGCATGAGCACAGAGAATTCAAAACTACATGGAGAGGCGCTGGGTCATGATGACCGGTGGAGAGAGCTCTTTCCTTTGCCCCTGTGCCCAGAGGTTCCGAGGAAGGCCGGACTGTCAGTGAGTGCGCGTCGTCGTCGAGCGACTGTTCGATCTAGAGTGGAATCTGTTAATTCAATCATCAAGACCTTGAATGAGATGTACTCTCCTAGCCTTGATGGTGATTTTTCTTCAAGTTTCGTGAGGACTAGAGCACAAGAGGCATGTCAACACGAGCTTTTTAGGGCGGTGGCCAACACAAAACCACCTTCAAAAGTTTTGAGCATGCGTGAAGCTGTCCAAGAATCCAAGAGCTTCTGCGAACAGACCTGTCCTATTCGGGCGAGGTTGCAACTACGGTGCGTCCCTATGACAGAGGCCTGCTTTCGATTCCGTCGTGTGGCAACCAAGCTGTTGTCTTAGACGACGTGTTGGATGATGTTGGCTGTGAGACAATCAGGGACCCTCACCGCTGTATGTTGTTGGACGAAGAGGAGATTGGGGTGATGATGGAACAGAATAAGCCTGTTGACATTTACATGGATCCATTGTTGAAGAACAACATGGGCATGTATTGTAATTTTGTGCATGATCTTTTTGAAGCCGGCATGTTGGATTTCACAGTTAGGCCTCGTGGACTTGTGACCCCCTTTTTTGTGGCAAAGAAGTCTGGAAAGCTGCGATTGATCTTGGATTGCAGGGAGACGAACAGACTCTTCAGAAGGCCGCCGGTCTTAGCTGCAGGGACGGGAGCGTCGTGGTCACAGATAAGAATTCCAGATGGTGAACAACTATACGTTGCACAATCAGATATTAAAGATTATTTCTACAGCTTGCAGTTGCCTTCTGAGCTTCGCACTCTGTTTTGTTTACCGCCCATCCCTGGTGCCCTACTTCGACATTGGAAGGTAAATGCCGAACATTGTGGCTCCCTGGACACGGACGACTGGGTACACCCTATGTTGCGAGTGGTGCCCATGGGATGGTCGTGGGCAATGTGGCTTTCACAGAGGGTGCATCAGCATCAGTCGCAGTTGGGGGCAGGGGTCTCGCCTGATAGAGTTTTGGTGGATGGAAAACCGGCGCCACGGCTCGAAAATGGCGAGGTACTTCTGCTGCCTTATGCGGACAACCTGAATGTCTGTGGCATCAACGCAGAGGCTGTTCAGAGGGCGAAAGACGGGGCAGTTGCAAGGCTGAGACAGGTTGGACTGACGGTGCATGAGGAGATGGACGCTAACAACATTTCCCAATCTTTGGGGTACATGATCGATGGATCTGTCGGCCAGGTGACCCCTATTCCAGATCGACTACATCGAGTACAGTTGGCCTTCAAATGGCTGTCTCGGAGGCCCCGAGTTACGGGAAAAGCAGTGCAGCGATTGTTGGGCCATGCAGTGCATTTCATGATGTTGAAGAGGGAGTTGTTGAGCATTCCAAGACATTTGTACGCATTTGTTCAACAAGCAAATGGGCGATGCAGGCTGTGGTGCAGCGCGGCAGTTGAAGCTAGATGGATTGGCGAACTTTTGCCACTCTGTGCAACGGACCTGAGAAAACAGACAAGTGCATTGCTTTCAGCTTCGGACGCTTCGTTGTCGGGAATTGCAGTGTGCACTAGAACGCTAGATGAGCAAACAGTTAGGGCAATTGGTAGTTACAGGGAACGATGGCGCTTCAAGGGCCGTAATCCGGCAAATCGACCACGACAGACTGCTCTGGAGGGACTAGACCCGTTTGTCGATGTTGCTAGTGTCAAACCTGTTGGACCTGTCGTTGAGGACCCTTTTGAACTGGACAACCAATTCCCAGATGTTCCAAAGGCCCTTTTGGACAATACTGATTGGTCACTTCGTTTCTCCCAACGCATGGTGTACAGTGAACATATCACATTGTTGGAGGGAAGAGGCATTGTTGCTTCCCTACGACACAAATTCCGGAGCACGGGGCAATTTCACCAGCATCATGTGCACTTGTCAGACAACCTTGGCATGGTTTTGGCTGTTGACAAGGGTAGAAGCTCATCCCCGCAACTGATGGGGGTGTGTAGACGTTTAGCATGCCTTCTCATCTGCACAGGCTCCAGTCTGACTTGTCGCTGGATCCCCAGTGAGTTGAACATTGCTGATGCCGGCTCTAGGCGCTGGGAACATCTCCGGACAGGGAAAACTCCTCCCAGTGGCAGTGCCCTGCAAAAGCAAGCAAAAGAGGAAGCCAGTACAAGTTGGTTTGAGCAGCAGACAAGCATTGCGCAGTCAGTTGCAGGGGAACAACAAAGAAGAGAGAGCAGAAAAGAGACAGATCTACAAGCAAGCCGTGAGCAAAATTCCTCGTTTTCAGGGTCAGACCTTTCTGGAGATGAACGCCATTTCAGAGGAGGTGGCCTCCGATTACAGAATTCGGATGAGCAGGTTCAGGGCATATGCCAAGCTGGAACAGATCTCTCTCCGAGGTCAAAAGAACTTGGACAGTGCCTTGAGCGCCTATCTCAACGAGATGTTCGAGGACGGAGAAGACATTGGGGAGGCTACAAAGACCCTGGCTGCAGTGGTAGACAGCGTCCGCGAATGCACCCAGAAGGGCAGCCTCCCGCGCTGCCGGAGGAGCTGGCAAGGATGGAACAGACTGGACCCAGGGGCCACAAGGCCGCCAATACCCTGGGAGTTGGTCGCAGCCATTGTGAATTACATGCTGGCAAGACAACAGATCAACGAAGGTCTTCTGGTGCTGCTGATGTTCGATGCCTATCTCCGACCAGGGGAGGCAATCAGCCTTCATCGACAAGATTTGGTGGAGCCTACAGTGCAGCATCCAGTGTTTTGCCTCAACCTGAATCCTTCCGAAAGGGGCGCAAGCTCAAAGATGGGGCTGTCGGACGAGACCATAGTCCTGGACGGAAAGGAGACACCATGGATGGGGCTGCTGCTCAGGAGACACCTGGAGACCCACAAGTCACAAAAGTTATTTCCAATAGAGTATCGGCAACTAAAAGACGCCTGGCAGAAGGCTCTGGTTGGTGTGCAGCTGTCGAACAAGCATTGTGTGTTGTATCAGTTGAGGCACTCGGGACCATCCCACGACCGGATGACAAAGGCAAGGAGCCTTGTGGAGATCAAGAAGCGTGGCAGGTGGTTGAGCGACTCTTCCGTTCGGCGCTACGAGGCGGCTGCACGCCTCAACCAGGAGTTTCAGAAGTTGCCAAGAGCAGTACAGACAAAGGCTTTAGCCGCGCCACAACTTCTGCAGCAGTGGGTCCAAAAGTTTTTCTCCCAGAACAGAAAAAGGACCTAGGCAAATGGGTGTTGGAGGTTTTTAGCGGTACAGCACACCTTAGCAAAGCAATGGTGCGACAGGGGTTCCGTTGTGCAGCATGGGACATTGACTATGGACCTAGTTGCGACGTGTTGCAAAGCAAAGTGTTGAGAAGCCTTTTGAGTTTTATTTCTACACATGAAGTGGTGCTCGTTTGGTTTGGCATGCCATGTCAAAGTTGGACAAGAGCCAGGCGATGGGACGGTGGTCCCCCGCCACTCAGAGATGACTCAACCTTCCTCTGGGGACGCAATGGTCTGACACAAGCAGATGTTACTAAGGTGAGGCTGGGCAACATTCTGTTGCTTTGGACTGTTGTTTTTGCCACCCTCTGTGATATTTTGAGCATCGCATATGTGATAGAGAACCCGGGCAGTTCTAGATGTTGGTTGACACGACCTATGCAGTTCCTTTTGCACAAGGCCTCCCTGGACTTTGTTGACTACTGCCAATATGGGGTCCCCTGGAGGAAGAACACAGGTTTCCTCCATGCTGGCATCCCCAATTTGGCTGGGAAGCTGAAGCTGTGCACCGTTGTGAACGGTAGATGTAGTGCAAACCACAGAAGACACATCATTCTGTCGGGGAAAGATAGCAATGGCATTTATTGGACACACAGGGCCCAGCCCTACCCTCCCTTGCTTTGTCACCACCTTTCACTTCACGTGGCCAGTACACTATAGTGGAATTTTGGGAGGTGTGATGCTGCTTTCGATTTGAGAAACTTCATCGAGGAGCAGTTCGGTTGGCAGACAGTTGATCATCCATTGGCCCTAAAGGGGCTCTTGCACCGATCGAAAATGGGCCGAAGGAATGCTGGCAGATGATGGAACGGTTTCATTGCCAGAGTTTACTCATAGATGACAGAGTGGAAGATGATTGCCGTTGCGTAACTCTCAAGGATTCTCCTCCATCCACCCCACCGCCCCCTACTCCTCCTACGGTGGTGATGCTGCTTTCGATTTGAGAAACTTCATCGAGGAGCAGTTCGGTTGGCAGACAGTTGATCATCCATTGGCCCTAAAGGGGCTCTTGCACCGATCGAAAATGGGCTGAAGGAATGCTGGCAGATGATGGAACGGTTTCATATATATAATATATGGATATGGATATTGGAGATATATGAATATTGGATATATAGGATATATATGGATATATAAACATCTTCCCTATATTTATTATAGGGATCTTGGAGACCATTTATGTAGACCGGGAGGGCCCAAATACTGAGAAGGTATGTGGATCCGGGCATGGAACATGAAGGGAGAAAGCCTGTGCCTCGCAACATCACTCGCAACATCACCTCCCTTCTTCATGGACAGAATCATGGACGCTTCGATCCCTGCACGTGATCAGTCATGAAGTATCATCCATGGACTTTCTTCATGACCTTAAAGGCCTTTCTTGTAGTTCAGCAAGTTGTACACCTGACTCATACGGCTCGCTTTTCTCACACGACTCGCTTTTCTCTCCCAACTCCCAAGCCACCAAGAGATTGTTAACTGACCTTCCAGGACCCGAAAAATCCTCTGTTAGCGGTACCCAACTGGGTCCTTCAAATCCTCTGTTAGCGCCATCCGCTCTGAGGCTTCCTTGCTCTCATCCTCTCCGAAGCGCGCGCCTCGGCCAGCAACGCCTGGTGGAGCGGCGGAAGCCGCGCGCGGGGCAGCCGCTGGGGCAAGGGCAGCGTCTCTGGACTCGCCTGGAGCACGGTGAAGAAGGCGACCATGAGTGGAGTCGAAGGGAGCTGGTGTGGTAGGATGAGTGGTAGGATGGTTGGTAGTAGAGGTATCAGCTGAGTTGAGTGTTTGAGTTTGCTGGTTTGTGGATGGGGAAAGGGATTTCGCAAGGATGAGCAGGCTGAACAAAGCCTTGGCTCTCAGATTTTGTGGGGCTCCTGAGTGCTAGTTGAGTGCATCCTGTGTGATCAGGTGGCCAAGGAGCGCGGAGTGAATCAGAAGCTGCTGAGTTTGAAGGTGAACGTGCCGGAAGCCCGACCTGAATGGCGTGGCTGCCCAGACCTGAGGAGAGCGACATCTATATATGACCCCAAGGGTCCAGGACCACCAAAAGAATCCAAAAGACCATTCTTTGGAAATACTTTCACTTCCAATACCATCCTCAAGGGGTACTTGGACCCAATGGGTGATGTACTTTCGAAAAAGCCATGAGCCAGCACTGCAACGCCGTGCACGAGGCTCGCGAACTCTCGTTCGTGCAGTCAGTGATAATAGTTTCAAAACAAGAAAAACGTTGGCTCATTCGTTGGCTTTGTCTTGGACTCCCATGTTGAACTGTTGGTTGTTCCAAACACGCAGAGCGTCGTCCTCCACTCAGCGGACCGAAGAACGGGCGGGAAACGGATCCAAGCGGGAACTGGAACGTGACTGAGTGGATGAAGTGGATGTCACACATCCAACATGTATGCAGTGCAGTGCATGCCACTAAATGGTTGGACATCAATGAGTTTTTGGAATATCTGGAAAAGCCATGGTACAGTAGGGTTGACGCCATTTAGAAGTCAATTACTTCTGTTCATTTCTTCAGTCAAGGTCCCGGGTGTTTGACCCAGAACCTGTCACAGGTCATTGCATCCTCCTTCACAAAAAGGTTCTGAGGATGTGGTTGGAGCCCTGGGGCCTAGGGTTGGAGCCCTGGGGCCTAGCCTTGGAGCCCTGGGGCCTAGGGATTAATGCCAAATTGTTGTCTTCTAAGTCCATGTCACAAGACGGGGTGGTGTTTGGTCCCATCCAGTGAGTGGATGTGACAGGGGCACCCCGACTTCCTCCAAGTTCGCCACCCCTTTGTGACTCCATGTCCATGCTCCCTATTCATGATGATTTCTCAAGGCTCCAACTATCTCCCTTTCGTTCGGTGAGTGGGGTGGGTGCCACCAAGGTTCAGTACCAAACTTCTGAGGATGTGGCTGGAACCCTACAAATATAGGTCTCCAAAAGCTTGTTTCTGATTTGTTTTTGACTGCGATGTTGTTCACTGATTGAACCATTTTTCTTTGGGGCGCCCGTTTGGTGAAGCAGCCGGGAACCCCGGGTTTTCACCCGGGTTCCCATCCACCGGTGAAGCTACAGATCCATGCCGGTGACGATCACTCCGCCGGGGTTGTCTGACAGACAACCAGCCTGACCTTCTTGCCACTTCGCTCACCAACACACCTGACCAACTTGCTCTTCCACCTGGACTCCATTCCTGGATCCACTGCCACCTTTTGAGAGCGCCAAGAGGTTGGTCGGGTCCAGTCATACCGAACGGTTTCAAAGGTGGTCAGTGACGGTCAGTGGATCCGAACACAATTCTGGGAGCCTTTTTCCTCCGGACAGAGATTTTTTTATTGCTCCTTCATCACCGGACTTCGATTCATCGCCTGCAAGGCCCACCTTTCGCACCGCTTGGCTCTTCGAACTGCGCCTGCCGCGGCTCCCAGAGAAGGCGGCGCTCTTCTTCGTGGAGCGCGCGGCGCCCGGCCGCCAGGAGCCGCGGACGTGCGGACGTGCAGTTGCCTGATCTACCCCAGACACGACCCATGGGACTGCCATAGGACTGCCGATCAATTGACCCCCAAAATAACCACCCCAACTGATCGGCATATATGACAGACATGGAGTGTCTGGGTACGTGGCTGATTGGGTCTAGAAATTGAGAAGAATTGGCCATCTTAGGGAATGAGGGGAACAATATCGGAACAAAGATGAACAGAGCAGGCATGCTTCTGATCGTCGATCTGAATTTCATAACATAGCTCCGTGGTCACTCTAGGCTCCATGGTCAGTTTATGGAGCTATGAAATTCGGTAGCATTGTCTGACTGATTTTGATCGCCCGATCCACTCGGACCCATGAGTCGTGTCACCGCGCGCTGTGTCAATGCGCTGCGACGCGACTGAGCAGCTGCCAAGCGACTGCGGCAGGCGTTCAACCAAATGCATGTTCACCCTGGTCATGGAGCATTCCTGCCTGGTGTGTCTGTGTGTCTGTGTGTGTGGTGTGTGTGTGTGTGTGTTGTGTTGTGTTGTGTTGTGTTGTGTTGTGTTGTGTTGTGTTGTGTTGTGTTGTGTGTCCCATTGCAGTCCAATGCCTAAACAAACAGCTCCTGGGATCCACTGCTACAAAGGAGACAGCGCTGATCTCATCAAGGAGTCTCAAATCTGCGAGGGTGGCAGTGGATCCATATTAGAGATCCAGAGTACATCCATTATAAACGTTTCTGTTTCTGTTTGGCATTGCTTTCTTGATATGTTTTTTTCTGTGTGTTTCTTCTTTGGGAAAAATCCAGACTTTCCAAGCCAAGCAAACACCCCAAGCAACACATGGTGCCTTCGAGACTGCTTTCCCGGGCGTGGGACCTTCCGAGAAGGACCTGCGTGTGGACCTGTGTGGCTTTCCTCCGGCCGCCTGGGGGTGGAATGAGCAACGTGGTCCAAGCTGAGACGGAAGAAACCTGTTATTTTGGGATGGGTTTGGAGTCTTCTCACTATTATTTTATCTATTATTTGGATGGGTTTGGAGTCTTCTCACTATTACTATATCTATTATTTGGATGGGTTTGGAGCATCCCTATGTTTTGATTCAGTCTCCGAAACTGAACGAACAGATGGATTTGGATTTGGAGTCTTCGTATTTTTCAGAATGCACCTACTGTAACCAGATCGGGCATAGGTTGGTGGATGCAACTGTGTTGGATTTGGAGTCCCTTCCCACCAGTTCGGTCGAATAGACGGGTCCCTTTAGAATTAATGGCACAGAAACCTGGCACAGCTAAAACATGGCACAGATGAGTCTTTCTTGGGGAAACATAAGCACCACTGGGCAGCCGAATCTGTGGATGTTGCTGTACCAAATCATGCATTGGCTCCCGTGAGAGTGTCCAGGAGCAATCAGTTATATATATATATATATATTTAGTTACATAGAACATTGACAACTTGACTAATAGGGCCCTCTGATGCCATTGTCGTGGGGTGCACGGTGTACTTGATCAATCGCAACCTGGCAAACATGGACGTGGAACAACTCCACCTGGTCCAAATGGTCAAGTCAATCCACGGACCATGAGGAACTCATGACCGATGGGTTGGGAGGTCCCAGGTAGATCCAATCCAATCGTGTTGACCGGAGACCATCGGAGCACTCCGTACGACCTCGGAAGCACTCCGTGGAGAACGCTGGTGGGCCAATGGTGTTTGTTGAGCAAACTCGTTCGGAAGACCATGGAATTGAGGATGAAGTAAATGAAATCCAAATACCAAGCAGCTGGTGCCATGGCCAGAAAACCGGAGACTTCTCCTTCATTCTCCACGGATTTCTTGGGAGTCGCTCAGCGATGTCTCAAGAATCGCCACGACTGGGACGTCAGAAAAAACGCCGAAGACTGCGCAGATTGATCAGTTCTGACTCGGGCTGGCCTGGCCTTCTGAGGATTTTTGCTTCGATGTTGGCTTTTGTTTTCACCGGAAGAGCTTCGGCTTGGTCTTTGGTTCAAACTCCGGCTTCTGGCTGGGAGAGTCTAGTCTAGCAGTATACAGTATACAGCGCGCTATACATTACAGCTATAGTAAGCTGTAGGTGACGTAGGGTTCTTTTCCATCTAAGGTGAGGACTTCTTCCAGCAAGAGTGTTCACTGTTCACCCCAACTGCTTTCTGTTCATTCCAGCCTTGTGATGCCTCGCATCGAGGCAAACGCCCTTCGGGTCGGCTATGGTGCCTGTAGAGCTTCGACCATTGGAGGACCGGCCAGCCCCGTTTTGCGGCGCAGACCGGGCGCAGACCTGATAGCATGACAAGGGCAAAGGACATTCTTTGGTGACTTTACTTACTGTATATATCTTACTTCATGGTAGGTTATGAGTGAGTGGGTTTGCACATGATGTTTCGATAGCATGAGCAACTGGTGTTTGATTGTGTTTGAACCGTGTGAGGAGCCAACAGCCTGGATGAGATAGGCTGAAACAGGTGCAAACCTTCCAGAATTATGTATCCCAACATCCATCAACTATGCGAGTTTGATCACCAGACTGGGCGACTAAACTGTGCTTGTGTTGGACACCCCTTGCGTGGTTTAAATAGATATATGAGATATCCGTACACAGGCTTTTGCATTTTAGCCTGAAGTCGGCATTAACGCGTTGAATATTGCGCTCCCCAAATAGATCATTCAAAAGTTCATGCACACAGCCCGCCGGGTAGAGGAGTCCTTTCTTTTCATCTTCCAAAGCCTCCAGAGCTACGTTTGTTTGGAAGGGATAGAATTAGATGACTTTGCAACCCAAATCCTGTAAGTATTGAGATCCTCTTACACATGACAAAACTATATGTCAGCCCTCAGGAAATCCCTTCTTTCCCACCTCATCCTGTATCTCTCATGATCACTGCTGAGGACTTGGTGCCTTTGCTGCGCATGTGGACCGCCTGTTTTCTGGCGCCTCAGGCGACGAACCGGTCAAGTTGAGTCAGAAGGTCTTTCTGTCATGAGGAATGTTTGTGTCACAATAGATCCATGAATTCGACCAGTGTGAAGTGGATGCGAATCTGGCCAATGGCCATTTGCAGGGAGGATTAGGATGTTTGGAAGAGAACATCTATCGATTTCTCGTTGAGCTTGACTTTCCCTCGGTTTGTTGGTGAAGTCAGTGGCCTTGGGTGAAGTTAGTGGCCTTGGCCCTTTGTTAGTTTGGACATGTTTGGATTGCAAGGTTTCAGAATGCAAGAAAAAACAAGGAAAACGGTTGGCGGAATCCAATGTTTGGTAGAGTGTTCATGACTTGATTGTTTACTCCGTTGACTCTTTCTCCCCCCATGGGATGTTGGCTCCTTACCCCATTTGAGCTTGATTCACAGGTAGAGCTTGGGGATTCGACAGCCCAACCACCTTAACCTCCGTCTCCACGGGCTCGGTCTGGATTTGCTCCAGACTTGCCAGGTGCCCTTCCTGCATCAGCTGCTGGGAGCCAAGAGCGCCAGCCACCGAGTCTTCTCCGACTCGGAGGCCCCCCCGCGGTGCGGCTCTGGGCGGAGCGGAGCTGGGCCTTTTGGGAGCGGGTCTTTTGGGGTGGAGAAGCGGCTCGAAGTGGCGGTGTTGGGTGTTTCTGGGGGATTTGGGATGGATTTTTTAGGGGAAGGTGTTGGATGAAGAACGAAAGAGGTGGAAAAGAGGCGCTTCACCTTTCTTTTCCAAGCACCACTGACTGAGGGAGTCAGCAATGGAGCGTGCAACTCACTGGAGACATTTGGAGACCATGATTCTATGGGAGGGTGAGTGAAACTGGAGTGCGGGACGCTATGCGGGTGTGTGTTTTGCGGTGTTTTTTGGGTGTTTTTTAGTGAACAATATGTGATGTTCATAATTTTATACCAGAATCTCTATATTGTATGTCTTTAAAGATTCATAGTTTGAACACAAAATTTAAATATTTGATTTACTAGAAAATGATTTTCAAAACCAGAGGTTGACCCACATGTCAAGGCATTGGCAACAAAAAGAATAATACCAGGGTAGAAGGCTACAATGAGCTAAGGGCACTATGTCACTCACTCAAGGCCATAGGTATGAGCATTGAGATGTTCAAGCCTGACTCCAGACTCCATTTGGACAAATTGACAGCAGAGGAGAGGTGGCATCAGCAGGGTACACACTTTGAGGTCACAAACACATTGAAGGGAACCACAACTGCACAGTTACCACCAGGATTTGACATCACACAGCAGCCCATTTTGGTCTCAGTAGACCAAGGTGGTATAAACGGGGCTTTCCTTGATTATGTGCAATACAAAGTTGGAATCAGGATAGTTGTATTGGATAATTTCCAACACAGGCTTTGGCATGACATGAAGACTGCAATGAAAGTGGCAAAGGTGTTCTATTCTATGGAATGTGAACTATGGTCCCAAAGGGACCAAAGCTTTCTTTCAGAAGAAGCAGGCTGCTGCTCAAGAGCTTCTTATGAGTCCAACAGTGCCACCAGAATTCATGACACTTCTTCCATACATTGCACATGAACTTGGGCGAGATGAGCCAATGTTATGGCATTGTCAAGCTTTTCAGGAGGATCAAGGAAATGACAAGTCTACAGGTTCTAGGACCATATGTGAAGCTCATGAAATCTATGAAGGAGAGAATTGGCTGTCCAAGTTTGTAATGAACTCCACAGGTACTGCTGCCACTTCCACTTCCACTGATGATATTCAGCTACCACCAAACCTTTCACCCCAAGAAGAGCTGAAACAATTGAAAATCAAGTTTGGGTCCTGGAGTTTGGCGCCCCAACTGGTGACCACCCAAAGCAGCTATCAGAAGGACTTGGTTGCGGAGATGGTGAGACCTCTTTGGACTGCAAACAGCTTCATGTCCCAGCATGCCAGGTCACCAAGGGAATTTCAGGAGTTTGTCATGGGGATGGCTTCTGGTGATTGGCAGGTCCAGTTGCAAGACCTAGTTGTCCATGGTTTCTTTGATGTCCCCACCATGAAAAAGCTTTATGGTGGCACTGAAGTGGGCACTGCAGAGAACTTGGCAATCCACCATGCACTGCTTTTTGAATATGAGAGCAATCTCTTTGACAGGCACCTTTTTGAGGCCACCAATGAGATATGCATGCCTTTGCAGGGAGGACAAAGCTGACACAACAAGCAGGCAAATGCAAGCCGAATGGGAAACTATTTTGGAAGCAGAAAGAGTGATGGCAAATGGCATGGAGGTCAGGCCCATAGAGCTTAGCTGTGTTGCTAGGACATCTTTGCAAAGGCTGTTCTACTTGACCAATGAGCTAGACATCCTCCAGCACAAACAAGGCACCAACAGAGTAGCTGCAACACTGGCAAAGACAGCTTGCCAACATCCTGGCAACACTGTGATCATAGAAAACTCTCACCAAAAGGCAAAAGACATGCTGAGAGAGGCACGCCGCAACCAGACTAGCAGGGCACACAAGTACCACAGTGTCTTGACCTCAAATGTCTTGTCTGGAATCTAGACCCCCCCCCACATCACTGTTAGCAACAGTGAAAAAGCCCAGTCTTCAGCTGACAAATCCAAAGCGCGGAAAGTTGTTGCCTTCACAAACCCAAACAGCCACACTGAGTTCCAGAACCTCATGCAGTTCAAAACCAAGTCTTTCACTTTCACCTGGCCCAGCACCTCCATGAGAGCATCTTCAATGAAGTTGCATCCTTGCAGTTTCTGCAGGAAGGGCAGCATGATATGAAGAAGGAGAGGTTTGAGGTTGCAACTTTGTATTGTTTGGTGGGCAAACCTGGGGACATTCTGGCTTGCAGAAGCTTGGGAAGGGTGATGATGGTGGTGGCAGTAGGTTCATACAGCTTCCTGGGTTGGGAGATGCAGGTGGTTGGTGAGGCTGCAGGACCTTTGACCTTTCAAGCATGCAAGGAAGCAAGTGCAGTACAGTGGCATTACATGACAGTTCTACTTCAGGTGGTGAGTGCGTCAAGGAATAACAGGTCTTCGTTTTGCTGATTGTGTGATGTGAACACGTTCCCTATAGAAGTGGGGAAAAGTATTTTTGTTTTTGTCTTTCCCGGTTCCTGGACAACAAGAAACCAACTCCTCACTGCCCTCACCTCTCACACATAGCTCTTCCATGCTCTTCAGGATGACGCGGCGACCGCGGACGCCGCCGCGGATGCGACCGCGGACGCTGCCGCGGACGCGACGGCGGACGAGTCAGCGGAGTCGGCGGAGTCAGCGGAGTCGGATGGGATGAGCCACTCGGCAGCACCTGGCACATGAGACCCGAGACGTGCGCTGTTGTTGATGATGCAGATGTTGCTGTTGCTGTTGGTGGTGGTTATGCTTGGTGCTTGGTGGTGGTGGTTGCTCCACCGAACATTCATGAACAGAATAAAACAAAAACTACCCGGGAGGTGAACCTACCAGGGTCAACCGGGCAACCCGGGTGAACAGACCCACACTCACATGACCAAAGTCCTCATGGCTCGGCCAAAATCACGAGGTCGGCTCGCTGGCCGCTTCAGACAGCGAGACATGTCGCGAGACCATGGAGAAGCTGGCAGGTAGCTATTTTGGTGGTACCACCAGAAAAAAAACAACTCAATGTATCAACCTGGTGCGTGATTGTTGTTTTTGCTGTCAGAAATCAATCCAAGTTGTAAAAACACACTTGGAAAAAATAGACCATTTGGTTCCGCATTCAGTGCCAGCCTGACTGTCACAGTGACCATGGGTGACCATCAATAGTCAAAACGACCAGTTCACCGAACTCACGAAGTTCACGAGGCCCTTCCTTGGACTCTTTGAACTTGCTACAGAAGGAGGCCGTGACGAAGATCCTCTCAGACACTCGGTGGATGGATTCAACGGAAGATCGTTGGGACGGCACCCGGATGTCGTTCAGAACGGGCGAGGAACGGAAGCTACACATTCGGTATGCTTTCATGCTTTCATACGCCTTCGAAACGAAGGTACGAGCTGGCTGGCACAAAAACACCAAGCTATCAGTTTCTCAGACAGAGGGCAGTGGATCCATGAATATCCATTAGACGCATTAGATATCCATTAAACGCTCAAAAAACAAAAACTGTTCTGTTCTAGTGAGAGGTCATTGGTCATTAGGTTTCTTCGACGACTTCCAATATATCATAATATGTGTTTTCATACCGAGTTCTGGTAGGTGTCTGGTTGTTTGGCATTTCCAGCCACGGAATTGTAGCCTTGTTCCTCTTGAAATTGCCTCTTCCCAGGTATCCAACCCAAGACCCCTTGTTTTAAGATGCATCATTAGTGGAAGTCCATCAGTTTTCCGTACAAATTATTTGGAGCACCAGTGGCAAAACAGTGTGGGGAACCCTGTGGTTCGGTCCATTTACAGACGGGTGTCCTACAAAATATTGAGGGAACCCCTGAAAGTCATCATGTGTGGTTGGAAATCAGAGCAGGTTTTGAGTTCAGACACCTGTCGAGACATTCCCACTTGATTGTAGATGAATCAAAAGGTAAGACCCCAGGATAGCTTAGGGGCTATGTCAGAGATCCCAACCTGATAGTTCCTGACAGAAAAAGACACATTGACAGGGACTGAGGCACAAAATTCATGTTGAACGCCTGCCTACCCGATTTTTCTTCAAGGTGCGTGAAGAAGCAATACTTTTCCAGCTGAACCCGGATGCTGTTTACGCCCAGGGTGGCCTTCTACGTCGCTGCCATTTGCTACAAGGCCCCCCCGGGCACTGGAAAGACTCGCGCGGTGGTAGCACTTCTACAGTTGCTTGGCGACTGGAAGTCCGTCTGGGTTATCTCACAGTCCGTCTGAGAGGCCATCGCGGTCGTAGGTTGCAGGCCATCGCTATTAGGTTTAGGGCTCTCAGATCGAAGGTGTTGGGACGATGTTTTTCTTGGTATGTTTTGGGTCGAGCAGGGTGCGAGAAACCTCGGAAAAATGTACCAAGTGCCCAACCGAACTGACTGAACTACTGGGGACACCCTACTCAACAAGAAGAGGGGCAGGTCTCAGGTCAAGTTCGTAACCGGTTCACCTTTCTTTTGCTCAGGGAAACTGAGAGTCAGGAAATCTTCGCCTCATATTAGAGGGATCGGACCCTCGTATGGAGGGTCTGGGGTCTCAACTCCCTAGGTTCTGAGGGACCAAAGGGCTGTTTGGAGCGTCTGGGGAGTTAGAACTTCTAAGAAGTCGGCACCTCGAGAAAGTCACGAAGCTGCTTGGTTTGAATCAGTTTTTGTCCATACATAATGTAGACTCTTGATGAATCAACCCACAAACCTTTGCATGGGTTGGTTAATAATCAAGAGCCGACATTAGTGGTGATTGAGTGAATGAAGCTTGGCTGACTGGGGGTTGACTGAACATCAGTCGAAGGTCGTTCACATTAAAGTGTGATGTTTAATGCCTTGTGCTTCGAAAGGTACTTTTTTCTCAGAGAAAGTCCCAAATTGAAGCAGAACTGTAGGTGGTCCGTTCAAATCACGCTAAGTCTGAGTGCTAAAGTAGGGAGAAGAGCAGCAGAATTGATTGAAGGAGGTCACCAACAGTGGGGGTCACTTTGAAAGAGGTTCTTATATTAAATTGGGTTTACGATGTTGCTTTGGGAACAAATCGTTGTTAATCACCCATGCTCACCTCACCACCCCACCTCACCAGCTTTCTGTAAGAGATCGATCGTAGAGTTCCTCAGTTCTTTATAAGCTCTGAAACAGAACCCCAAGCCTCATTTCTTGCAGAACCTCCAGCCCCCAGCCCTCCTCCCCCAAAGTCCGGATGTCAAGGCAGCTCTCGCTGCAACGTGCGGATCTGGACAATCGCATCCTCGTGAGCGCCTTGGTCTACGAGTCGACACGTGGCTCTCTGAGCAGTCACCAGAGGAGTCCTGGGAGTCCTGTCGTCAACCAACGCTCGGGCGAGACGACGCGGGCGAGACGGGCGCGTATGTACTGCTGCGTGGCGTCAGTCAAACACACTCCGTGGACGGCGTCGAGCCATGTTCGCTCCGTGAGAGTTAGCATGTTGTGGGCTTTGAGGTCCCAAATCGTGCAAGTTAGATGGGACTTGGGTTCTAACACGATCTAACATGATCTAACTATACTTGGATGAAATACGTTGATTTCTGGAAGACATCTGAAGACACTTGGTGACGGGTAGTGGGGTAGTCCATGTGTGTTTGGTTGTTTTTCTGTTTCCAAGCGTCTCCTGCACCAACTGCTTGCTTCACGGCACCTACCGGAAACGCCCTGTGAAACCCACGCCACATCTCGTGTCTCCAAGACCCGGTCAGGCGCTCCATCCAACGGGGCGGTGCAGGTCGCTTTGGAACACTTCCTGAAGACCGAGGACCGAGGACCGATCCGAAGGACCTCTTTCGACCGATCCGGGTTTTTCTGCGAAGAGAGAAGACCTCCGGAGTCTTGACACTCGATGTGTATGAGAGATGTGTTACTTTCATGCATATGTACCCACCTTGAAGTATATATACTATGTAACATATTTATTGATCAACACCTCCGCAATGTAGGCAAAGATGCCAGTCCAGAGTGTTTGAGATCTCTGAGATCTCAGCGACGAAGCGGTGGGAGATGTTTCAATCCCCTAAAGCTCTCGCAGCTACGACTTCACTTGTCTTGCTAAAAATTCATCAAGGGGGCCAAGACAAGCGACCATCCAGGAGCAAAAGACGTCACCATGTAGGTGGGTCCAAACTCGCCCAACGATTTCCATGAACACCCATGGCCTAGTGGTTTCCATTCATAGGCCACTTCCAACACGTCGTCTCATGTGGTCTCCGAAATGTTCGTCGCACCGAACCCCCCTTGACCGACCCCTTTGTTTCGTGTCCTCAACCTCTCAGGAAGCCCAGCGGACCTCCCTGTGTTTGGCTGGCGTGGACGAGCGCGTGCCTTCCGAGGGGCCCTTGCGGGCAGCCTTCATCCACACCCGGATGCAGCGGCCCGGTTGCAGCGGCCCGCTCGGACCGGACCAGATGAACCCTTGAGGGGACGTCCTACAGACCTACAGAGGTAGCCAGTGACCGGGACCATAGGACCCGGAAAACCAGGGGTACCTATAGGATAGTCTAGTTCGGGTTCTTCAACCTCTGCTGGGATACCATGGTGGAGACTGTTCTTGGAATGTATTAAAGACTCTCCTCCAGGTCAATGTCAGTCCATGGAACCAATCGTGGGAACCATGGTGACCACTGTGGTGATTGTGGTTGCAACCTAGTGTTTTTAACTGTCGTTGTGATCAACAGCTGACCTTTTTCTAAATACCAAGACTATTGTGATTTGCGGTAACTTTATCCGGTTGAGATCACATTGCTTGACGAACAAACAGACAAGACTCAATGGAAAGACGCCACGACAGCATTGCCCAGGTGAACAATGTATTGGAGCACCCCCCTTTCTTTCATGTGACTCCAATTGAAATGGGTGTGTGTATTTTCACGGGAGACCTCTCAGGCGTTCCGACCCCTGGAAGAAGAGACATAGACCAACTCACTCAGGGCCACACCTTGGGCCATACCTTTTCTCAGAGCTAACCCGCTCCACGAGGAGACATGACTCACAGGACCAAAGCCTTGGACGAATTGGGTGACTTCCTATAGGAGTAATATATCCTTATATGATGTGAGCCTAGATGACCTTGGACCTTACTCATATTAACTTTGTTTTTGTGACTCAAAGGATTGTTGCAAGTTGCAAGGGTGTGTCTCAAACTTGCGGATGGCAGACTGTGACCGGCTTCATTGTTCGAGAGACTTTCCATAGGGCCTACACTATGTTGCAGCACTTGTGTAGCAGGTTTATGAGTGTGGACTGCGGATATCCTTTTCAGTAGGAACAATGTTGCAAACGTTGCTATCCCATTTCAAAAGAAACATCTTCAAATCATAGCTGGAACCCACCAAGGTGTTGACTCATATCAGTTCAGCGTATGTCTCCAACAAAACCGTCGCCGGAACCGGATGTTCCAAGATCTTCTTGATAGATTCATGGATTTCATAGATACCAGCGCCGGCGCACAGAAGAAGTATTAGAGCCTGCCTAAAAAAGACAGGGTGATGTTTGAAATGAGGTTCAAAAGCAGTACTTGGCTTTGGCACCCCTGTTGTCAACTGAGATTCGCTCATAAGAAAAGCAACCAGTTCCAGTCACAGTTGAATCTGCCTGCCACCACCAGATAGCTAGATAGCAAGCTTCCTGCCGTGCTAAGGTACACCTTAGCCTTGCTGCTGAAGTGTGAGAAGGACCCGACTGCCCTA